ATCTGGAGCTCCTTACTGTTAAATGTTATTGATCACATAATACTAATTGAGATGAAATTTCTTTATACTCTTAGGGCGCCCCCAATATTTATCTCTCTGCAACTATTTCTATGTATTGACCTATCTATCCCTTCTTTTATCTGGAGCAATTCCCAGCCAAGAATAGTTGAATCTCTTTTCAAGACACACTGGCTTGGCCAGGCATAACCTATATAATTTTTTACTGCCCTCCCGGTAGAAGTTAAAGACTCCCCAAGCCTTATGGTACATCATCCATAGATCTACATTACAACAGTGTAATGATGGTCCCCACTGGATATTCCCTACCTTCCCTGGATTAAAACTGAGGGCATTCTCTCACCTTCCCAGTCCTCGTCTCTCTCTGTGGCACAGTCATAGCTTGAAGGAACTCTACAATGACTTTGACTCCAATTGATGGTCCAGCAAATGTATTGTCTTCCTCTCACTGTTTGAACAATGGCCAACACCAATAGAAAACACATATCAGCAATACATTTTTGTTCAAATGCCTTCTGTTATGTCACATCACTCTGTAAGAATTCAGTTTTGTGCTCTGGAGGTGAAATTTTCTCCTCTGTAACACCCCTTTTACAGTGGATGACAACCCAAACTAGCCACAACTATCTTTGGAAGTGGGTCACTGATACCTGGTTTATGGATGTTATTACTACTGTGGACAAACTAATTCAATTTAGGCTTATCCATTAGTTGTGCTATACACCAGACAAAATATGGTGTGCGAGTCTTGGATTCAATGCCAGCTAACAAGTTACATATGTTCTGGCCTTGTCCCAGTATTGATTCTTTCTGGGACAGTCTGTGCTAGCTACCCATTTAAACTTTATGGGTTGGCTCACACTATAGAAACGCAATTCAGATGCTTTCCGGATGCGTTACTGCATGCGTGTTTTTGACATGTTTTTGATGCTTTCCAGTTCATTTTTCCCCCTCTCTTTTTCTTCAATTTAAATAGGGACATGTGCATTCTGGGCTGTTTTTTATGCGTTTTACAGTGTTCCAATATAGTTCTGTGTAGGAAAAATACAGTCTGTTCTACTTTTTTTTCTGCAAATGGAATCCACTGGAACTGCAAGCACTGATATGAACTGTGACATATAACCTACTTTCTGTGCGTTTTGAATGCAGAAAAAAAAAGCACACTGAAATGCATGTAGTGTGAACTGGCCCTCATGCTCTGAGGACATTGGCGATTCCCCATCTTGGCATTCTCAGTGATTTTGAACCTCTTATTCATACTCATACGTGTATTGGCTGATTCTGTTTCAAGCTAGAAAGGCCATTCTGCTCAACTGGAAAAATGTTACTCCTTCAACCCTTTAGCAAGTATGCCACCAAGTAATTTTGAACTTCCTAAATATAAAATGATATACATGGTCAGAGCATGCCCTAATACGTTTTATGAAAGTTGGCAACCATGACTGGACTCTTCTGCAGTTCAACTCTCCTTGAGTCCTATATTCATGCTAGTATGCTAATTCCTGCCTTTCAACCAAATTATCCGAGTTCTATCTTTTACTGAAGGAGAGAGTAATGTGTGAGTGCAAAGTGCAATATGTAGGTTGTATGTATGTGTGTAGTATGTGCTATCCAAGTTAGAAAAAAAAAAAAACATATACCAAATGAAGTTTGATTAATTTCAAAGCAATAAATTTGCTTGTTTGTTTGGTGCCAATGACTGAAAGTATTGCAGCCACCATATTAGGTCTACAGCCATGCTATGAGCCTAATGAGGCCAGCAGGAACAGCCTAGTGATTTCAGTTAGGACAGACTAATCTTCATAATTATGTTTTATTATTTTTTTAGGAATTTTATGACAATTGCTAAATTTCTAACACATTTTTGTTAACGTGCAGTTCAGCTGTTCAGTGGACAGCAGTTAAATTTCCCATTTAGTTTGTTTAATCTCATTTTTATTAAATTTTGAGGAAAAAGCAAAAACATTTTAGCAGTACATAAATCTGCCATTGATTATCAATATTCATTGAATACTTGTAAATGGAATACCATCTCTGCAATAGATATATTAAATCACATATCTACAGAAACACAACAGCAATGTTGTCACCCCATGTCTGGGAGTGTAACAGAGACTTTCATTTGAAACCAGTTACTTAGATGGTGATATTGTTCTATATGGTAAAACCATGTCTGTCATATGAAGATACTCTAACCAATGGTGTAGCTTGTAGTATCCTGTGTCCCTACAGGTAGGGAATAGAAGCCAGAGTCAAACTTGGATATAACAGTACAGAGGGAGGGATACTGGCTTTTTTATACTTCTGGTGCTCTTTTAGGGGCCAGTTCACATCACGAAAACACACTCCAGATGCGTTCCATATGCGTTTTTGCTTACATTTCACACCACACTCTGTTCCAGTGCATTTTTGATGTATTTTGCTGTGTTCCAGTACAGTTCTGTGCAGTAAAAATGCAGTATGTTCTACTTTTTTTTTCTGCACTGGAGACTAACTTGAACTGACAGAACTGTTGTGAACTAGGGCCATTGGAATACATGGAAAACACTGTGCATGCATTTTTGATACAGAAAAAAAATACACTGCACTGCATCTGGTGTGAACCAGCCCTAAACATTGATCTGCAATGGATCACTCTTCATGGGGCATTGGGTATTTGACATGTGGTTAGGAGCGCAACGTTGCAGCCATAGCATGTGTATACCCCCTTCAGCTGCCTTTGTAGCGTAAGAAGGAGGGAGTGAAAGTAAAATTATAGCCCAACTGTGTGTTTTTACCACCCTACAACTGTAGGCATAAACAAAGCCATCTATAAGAAGAGGGATGGTATATGGATTTGAGAAAAAGCATGGGAGCTCAAGATAGAGATGTGGTGTCAATCAACCATACAGATACAAAAGGTTAATAGCAAATCGATATATGATAAGTCATATGGGGACCCAAGACAAAAAAAGGAGGCATATATTTCATCCATTGGGATTTATAGCATTACATTTACTCATTAGTTTCTTAAGTGATGAGTATTTTAAAAGTAGTTCAATAGTACATTTTTCATAGGAGACATATTCATTTAGATCCATTATCCAATCAGAAAGAGGTGATGAAAGAGGCGAGGCAAGGTCAATTTAATTGTAATCAGCCTACGAGCTATATATAGAGTTCTAGAGCTAGTGAGCACCAGATTGTGATACATAGAAGAAGAATAAATCTGGTCTAAAAGGCATGTGAGGGGTTCCACTAAAAGACTAGTCCCCAATAAACCATTTAAAGTACCTAAGCCCAGTATCTCTTCAACTTGGGACATTGCCACAAAAGATGGATAAGGGATCCTGAAGACTGTCACACTGTCACAACAGGGTTTTTCTATCACCCCAATTGTCTGTAAAATTTGTATACCCTATGTAAAATAAATACCTGGGTCAGTCTGGGTGAAGGCAAGAGAGAGATGTGCTGCAGAGATTGTAAGATATTGTTCCAAATGTCTTCTGAAATGGTACCGATGTCTCTCTACCATCATGCTCTACAGGCTAATAGAAATTTTGGTAAAAAGCAGTCTAGTAACATCACATATGTGGGCGAAACTAAGCCTTTTGTAGAGGATGCCTAAACAATGTTATCAATAATATGCATGCGAGACAAATAAATAAAAAACAGATTAAATTGCGCTTGTATAGCATACCTTAATTGAAAGGTAACTGGTAAACCCATTTAGGATTAAGGTGGTTCTAAAGGATAAAAATGTTTTACCTTAATGCATTCTATGAATTAGGGTAAAAAAAAAAGTTTAAATTATGTTCTCCCCCCCCAGTCCCCCTTAAATACTTACCTGAACTCGGTCTCAATCGAGCGCTGTGCTTGAGAACAGTGGCTCTCACCTTGCAGGACACAGAGGCAGCAGCAGAAGCTTTTGACTCCTGCTGCTGTCAATCAAATCTTGTGATGTGAAATAGGGGGCAGGGCCTAGCCGGGCATAGGCAGTGCGACTTGGGAACAAGTTTGCCAAGTGCTGCCATAAGAGGCAGCTTCCGATGGGGGAACTTGCTGAAAAGGAGGAACCAGGAGTGCTGGCGGGGCATCCCTGAAGGGGAGGTTCAGGGCTGTTCTGTGCAAAGCTATTGCATAGTCCAGATAAGTATGACATGTTTATTATTTTTTTAAAACAAAAATACAAGGTTTAGAATCACTTTAAGGGCCAGTTCACACTAGATGTGTTTCAGTGTGCTTCTTTTCTGCATTCAAAATGCACAGAAAGTATGTTATATGGTTGTTAATGTCATAGTTCACATTATTGCTTGCAGTTCCAGTTGCAAAAAAAAAAAGAGTAGAACAGGCTACATTTGTCCTGAACAGGACTGTACTGGAATGCAGTAAAACGCATCAAAAACACCCTGGAATGCACTAGAATGCACTAAAAACGCACTGAAATGCACATGTCCCTAGTTCAATTGAAAAAAGGGGAAAAAATGAACCGGAACGCATAAAAAATGCACTGGAACGCATCAAAAAAGCGTTAAAAAATGCATATGCAGAAACACATCCGGAATGCATCCAAACTGCGTTTCTACGGTGTGAACCGGCCCTTAGTGCAGATTTGTCCATTAGTTGTGCAAAGGACTTTAGACTCGTTATGATAAAGGTGGAACAAGGTGTAAACTCCAGCCCTCTCCCGTCTCTCAAAGCCCTGTAGTTTGTGAATTTCTGGAAACAGGTCATTGTGCCAAATCCCTACCCTAATTTAATGCAAAAACAATACTATTCTCACATTTATCTGAAAAGGAAAGATGTGATAGAATGAAAACTAAATTGTAAGTGCCTATAAAACTTACGGCTGTACACTTGTAAATTTCTTTTGTTTAGCCCCACTGGGCTTGTATTTTTGTAATGTTAAGAGTAAAAATTAACTGAAAAATTCAGTTAATTATTTGTGCAAAGTTAGACCACCAGCCTGTGACGTACCCATATTATTTATTTGTCTCTTGCAGTAATATTGAGCACATGAGGCAACAGCTGGAAAAAATAGGCCTGTCGTTTAGCTGGGATAGGGTAAGTAAATTAGTTTATCTATCTTATCCTTATTCCAAAAGTAACTGTGTTTTGAATGGGCCTTCCACATTACAGTTTTTTTGTTTAATTTTCTAATACAGCATACTTGTGTGTATACAAGAAAGTGCAGCGCTGAAATAAATAAGATATCCAAGTGTCTCTGTAAAATCAATAACTTAATTAAATCGATAAAAATCCCATCTAAAATCAGATGATAAATATAATCAAAAGTTCTGATATAAACAATATATAAAATAAGGTGACTCTCGTGCTCTGGTGACTCTGGACCCGGTATCAGTGCAGTAGTGGTAAAGGTAATGCGCACTCACTGGACGCGCATAATAATTGCGCATTATGTTATTAATCCAGATGTCATCAAATAGGAAATGGCTGGATTATCTTCCCTCTCAGGGATGGTGGGTCTTCAGATGCTATGGCAGGGGTCTGCAACTTTTAAGACATAAAGAGCCACTTGGACCCGTTTCCTAAGTGAAAAAAAAGACTGGGAGCCGCAAAACCATTGCAAAATTTAAAACAAATCCGACACTGCATATATTGTTTCTTACCTTAATGCTATATACAGGATCGTGCAGTTAGCTGTCAATCTGAAGAAAAAAAGAACTTTTCCACTTAACAATGTAAAATATATTTTTGCACATTAATAGCTAATTAAAATATTTAATTTATCTGGTTAATGGGATTTATTCTCCTGAACCTCAGTGCACAGTGTCTGCACATCAGGGCTGTAAGACGTCACCTTCATTTTCACACAGGCTTGCAAGCTGTCATCTGTGAGGCGTGATCGATGTTTGTTTTTTAATATAGTTCATGTTGGAGAAGACCTGCTCACATACATATGTGGAGCCGAAGATCGACAGCACTCCAAATGCATACTTTTTCATGTTTATATAAGTGTTGGGGATAGCATTCCAGGTTTCGAATACAAGTTTGTCCTGTTTGGAAAGGTTTTTAATATCACTCCATTTATGATTCTGTGCCAGAATGGCCTTCTGCCGGGCAACATCCTCAAGAGTAGCGGTCAAGCATTTAAACTTGGACACCCATATATCTTTGTCGGCTATATCGGCCAATTCCATCTCAAGATCAGGTTGACTTACACCTGCAAATGCAGTCATATTCAATAGGGATGGATCGATCGCCAGGGGAATGACAGGGAAGGATAATGTGGTTTTTTCCTCTCTGAACCCACAGAATCGTTTCCCAAACGAACTTTGCAATTTTTTTAAATATTTTTTTGGATATGTATTATAGCAAACAATTATTTAAAAATGTTATTTTTTTCTAAATTGTCGCTCTTTTTTGGTTTATAGCGCAAAAAATAAAAACCGCAGAGGTGATCAAATACCACCAAAAAAAGCTCTATTTGTTTGAAAAAAAAGGACGCCAATTTTGTTTGGGTACAACGTCGCACAATCACGCAATTGTTAGTTAAAGTGACGCAGCGACAAATCGCAAAAAGCGCTCTGGTCATGAAGGGGGTTTAAGGGCCCAGTAAGCAAAGGGTTAATCAGGGCCACAGTGTATCGTCATAATCACAATCATAGCCTTCGGTAAATATGAGGGCCCAATGTAATCCAAATTATAAATATATTATTATATTATTGTCACTTTTCTATTAATATTTTTTTAACCCCCCCTCAGAACTACTTTTCATAGAAAACGTTAAATTAACTTACCTTTTTTTGTTCTTCACTCCCGCGCAGTGCTGTGTTCTTCTTCACGCTCATGCAACGCTAGCTCACGCTGGTTTCGGCTCTGTCACTCCTCCCCCTCGCACACAGGAGGCCTGACGTCACAAGGCACTGTACTCGTGGTGAGGCGGAGCTGAACCACGTTGAGTAGCTACGCCGTATAGTAATTCATCCCCCATAGTAATTCATCCCCCACGTAGTAATTCATCCCCCACGTAGTAATTCATCCTCCATAGTAATTCATCCCCCATAGTAATTCATCCCCATAGTAATTCATCCCCCATAGTAATTCATCCCCCATAGTAATTCATCCCCCATATAGTAATTCATCCCCCATATAGTAATTCATCCCCCATAGTAATTCATCCCCCATATAGTAATTCATCCCCCATAGTAATTCATCCCCCATAGTAATTCATCCCCCATAGTAATTCATCCCCCCTATAGTAATTCATCCCCCATAGTAATTCATCCCCCATAGTAATTCATCCCCCCTATAGTAATTCATCCCCCATAGTAATTCATCCCCCATATAGTAATTCATCCCCCATAGTAATTCATCCCCCCTATAGTAATTCATCCCCCATATAGTAATTCATCCCCCATATAGTAATTCATCCCCCCTATAGTAATTCATCCCCCCTATAGTAATTCATCCCCCATATAGTAATTCATCCCCCATATAGTAATTCATCCCCCATAGTAATTCATCCCCCCTATAGTAATTCATATCCCATAGTAATTCATCCCCCATATAGTAATTCATCCCCCATATAGTAATTCATCCCCCCTATAGTAATTCATCCCCCCTATAGTAATTCATCCCCCCTATAGTAATTCATCCCCCATATAGTAATTCATCCCCCCTATAGTAATTCATCCCCCATATAGTAATTCATCCCCCATAGTAATTCATCCCCATATTGTCTCAATTCACTTACCTTTGCTCCGCGCGTTCCTCTCGCTGTGTTCCCGCGCTGTTCCGGTCTTCAGGGCGGACTGTGAGAGGAGAGGAGTTCGTCACACTGCCCCACTACATCCTGGCTGCCCCGCCTACATCCTGACAGCCAATGTTCCACGCTTCGCGGGCCGGATTAAAAGAGTCCTGACTTTTGAGGCGGCCGCCCGAGAGGAGGGAGGGGAGCGGGCGCCCGGCACACAGAAGAGATGTGGCTTGCGATCCGCGGCTTGCCGACCACTGAAACCCTATTGTCTGTCACCTGGTGGGCAGTGTGCTCCGGAGCCGCAGCAAAGATGAAAAAGAGCCGCGGGTTGCCGACACCCCGTGCTATGGGGTTGGTACAGGTGGTCCTCGTCCTCTAGGGCTCCCCCTTTCCAAAACCTGATGTTACTCTCTGGGTATGCAGATAACCACTCAGGGTATAGTGATCCGTCCCGGAGTAATGGGTCTGTAAGTTTAGAGAGCGACATCGGCTCCCCCGGAATCCCACTCCGAGCTCCGCCGCCGATCCCAGCGCTTCCCACAGCAACACTACACAGGATGCCCACCGCCCAGAGACACCTGGGCGGTGGGCGTACTATACCCTGAGTGGTTATTATTATTATGCGCGTCCGGTGAGTGGGGATTACTTTTACCACTACTGCACTGATACTGGGTCCACAGTCACCAGAGCACAAGAGTCACCTTATTTTATATATTGTTTACATAGGAACTTTTGATTATATTTATCATCTGATTTTAGATGGGATATTTATCAATTTTATTTAGTCATTGATTTTTTAGAGACATTTGGATATCATATATTTATTTCAGCGCTGCACTTTCTTGTATACTATTTATGTTAGGGTGATATTTGTTACCTTTTTGTGCATAGCAGCTTTTCTGGTCTATGTTCAAGGTGCTCGCACTTCTGTTTATATATACCTGTGTGTATGCCCTTTGGGCTGCATGTACGCTGTATGTGCTCTGTTCTTTACATTTTGTGTTGTGTATGCTCATGCTATGTATAGTGTGTGCGCTATGTGTTACGTATGCTGAATATTTTCACGTTGAAAAAATATTGAAACAATTACTTAAACATATCAACATGACAGATTACAAGAGGAGGTATCAGACCATTGATGCTAAGAAAAACGGTGTGTATTGAGAACATACATGACGTGTACATAGCACATATAGAGCAGGTACGGTACAGTGCAGAAGCTTATATACAAACACATAATATAGTAATAATAACAGTAAGATAAAGGAGGGTGCTCAGCCAAGGAACTGCTAGTCATCTACAGTGCCTTGAAAAAGTTTTCATACCTATTGAAATTTGCCACATTTTGTCATGTTACAACCAAAAACATAAATGTATTTTATTGGGATTTTATGTGATAGACCAACACAAAGTGGCACATAGTTGTGAAATGGAAGGAAAATGATAGATGGTTTTCAAAATTGTTTAAAAATAAATATCTAAAAAGTGTGGCGTGAATTTGTATTCAGCCCCCCTGAGTCAATAATTTGTAGAACCACCTTTGGCTGCAATTACAGCTGCAAGTCTTTTTGGATATGTCTACCAGCTTTGCACATCTAGAAAGTGAAATTTATGCTCTTTTTTTCTTTGCAAAATAGCTCAAGCTCTGTCAGATTGGATGGAGAGCGTCTGTGAACAGCAATTTTCAAGTCACAGATTCTTAGGTCTGGACTTTGACTGGGTTATTGTAACACATGCATATGCTCTGATTTAAACCATTACATTTCAGCTCTGGCTGTATTTTTAGGGTCATTGTCCTGCTGGAAGGTGAACCTCCGCCCCAGTCTCAAGTCTTTTTCAGACTCTTAACAGTTTTTCTTCTAAGATTGCTCCATCCATCTTCCCATCAACTCTGGCCAGCTTCCCTGTCCCTGCTGAAGAAAAGCATCCCCACAACATGATGCTGCCACGACCATGTTTCACGGTGTGGATGGTGTGTTCAGGATGATGTGCAGTGTTAGTTTTCCGCCGCACATAGCATTTTTCTTTTAGGCCAAAAAGTTCTCATCTGACCACTGCACCTTCTTCCACATGTTTGCTGTGTCCCCCACATGGCTTCTTACAAACTGCAAATGGGACTTCTTACGGCTTTCTTTCAACAATGGCTTTGTTCCTGCCACTCTTCTATAAAGGCCAGATTTGTGGAGTGCACGACTAATAGTTGTCCTGTGGACAGATTCTCCCACCTGAGCTGTGGATATCTGCAGCTCCTCCAGAGTTACCTTGGGCCTCTTAACTGCTTCTCTGATTAATGCTCTCCTTGCCCAGCCTGTCCGTTTCGGTGGACGGCTGTGTCTTGGTAGGT